CATAATTTGCATTTAATCCCCATCAAAAGTGAGGATTTTCAAATGTCATTGAATGTGAAGTAGAATATCAGGGGCCCTATGGGCCTTTCTTGTATGCCTAAAATAAATCCATGATTAACATATGTGTATTGTATCTATTCATTTAACAGAGCATTTACAGCAATGTGCAAAGGAGAAAACACTTGCTTTAGAAAAGTAGAATTCAGAATTCCTGGCAGTTGGTATAGATTTGAAACAAACTTATCTCTATACCAAATAGATGGGACCATATATTTGTATATCTATATTGTAAGCAGGGTGGCAATAAAATAAGAGAAAAACTAATACCATTAGCACTTAACAGTAGCCATGTGCATATAATAAATATGTTAATATGATAATATCTTTATTTATTAAAGAATGTACAAAAGGTATAGATGATTTCAGCAATCCCCAGTTAGCTGTTCCCGCATGTTATTGTGAATAGTTGTAAGTGATAAATTTGCGTCTCTTTAAGTTTAGACTTACTTTTTTTTTTTTGAGACACTGTCTTGTTCTGTCATCCCGGCTAGAATGCAGTGGTGTCATCATAGCTCACTGTAACCTCAAACTCCTGGGCTCAAGCAGTCCTCCTACCTCAGCCTCCCAAGTAACTAGGGCTACAGGCATGCCCATGCCTGGCTAATTTTTTCTATTTTTAGTAGAGACAGGGTCTCACTCTTACTCAGGCTGGTCTCGAACTCTGACCTCAAGCAATCCTGCCTGGGCCTCCCAGAGTGCTAGGATTACAGGCATGAGCCACTCTACCGGCCTAGTTTAGACTTGTAATGTATGTGGTTTTCCTATTACTGCCTGGTAAGTGAGGAATTCCTGTATGTTGAAAAGAGAGACTCATTTTATACCCTTGAGGAAATAAAATCATTCAGTTTTAATAGTGACCAGCAGACCAGCAACTCTACACTATTTTAAATATAGCTAATAATAACAATGCCATAATACTTACCTTAAAATGCTTTAAAGTAAGTAAGATGTAATGGGAAAATTTTTGGCTGTGATTTTGAACTTTTAAAAGGTAGGTAGTAGGCATACACAATAAAATTCCAAAATATATAAATGGAACATAGTTCTTTCAGTCTATTCCTGTTCCCCAACAGCCCAATTCCAGTCCCCAGAGGTATCCATTGCTCTCATTTTCTTGGGTATCTTGCAAAGGTAGCTTGTACGTTCCATTTATCTAATGTTATTTGAATTATTTATCTGTTTCAGATGACTCCAGAACTGATGATAAAAGCATGTACATTTTATACTGGACGTTTGGTAAAGACCCATTTTTGGTAAGAATGTGATTTTTTTTGTTGTTAGAGTATGATTGTTATATACTAATTTTTTCTCTTTGTGTTTTTATTCTTGAAATTCTCCATACAAA